ACAAGCCAAGTCAATAGAGAAGCCAGATTCACTTAACAACTATGCTACTAACTGAACGACGGCAATGATTCACTTAACAACTGTGGCAAAAAAGGGCAAAACTCACTTAACAAATCTCTCACTTAGCAACATAAATTTTGGGCTCAATTGTGGTCATGAGTTGAGGGCTACCTATATTTTAATAGAAAAATCCTTCCTAAAGGGCAGTTTTCACCCTCTCCGAGCTCCTAGAAAGCCTCTGGAGCCTGGGGAGGGCGAAAAAAGAGCACCAAAGGCAGGGGGTTTGCTGGTCTCGCATGCCTGTGCATAGAGGGGGAAAGTGTGTACACGTGTGGCACGCCCGTGCATGCCCCCCTGCGCTCCCCCTGCTTTTGCCACGTGAGCCAAAAAAAGGTTCGCCATCACTGCTATAGATGTATTTTCATGGACACTGAAAGGAGGAAATGGCTCGAGTGCTTTACTCAAGAGTGTGACAATGAATGGAAACTGAGCAAAGAGAGAAACAACCTAAAACTAAGGAGAAACTCCATGACAGTGAGAACAATTAGCCAGTGGAACTGCTTGTCTCCAGAAGTTCTGGGTGCTCAATCACTGGAAGTTTTAAAGAAAAGTCTGTACAGCCATTTCTCTGAAATGGTATAGGGTCCCCCCCCCCCAAGTCCCTTCTAAGTGTTATTCTGTTATTCTGACACCTTTCCCAGATTTTGACATCCTCAGTTTTCCTGCCTGAGCAGGGGGTTGGACTAGAAGACCTCCAAAGTTCCTTTCAACTCTGTTATTCCTGAGCTAAATAGCTAAGAGTTAAAGAGCAGCCTCTAGACATTCATTTTAATAAGATTTTTAGAAACCTGCAGTTGAAAGTTCTTCATGTCGCCTTACCTTGAAGACCCAATTTGCTCTGGGAGGGTGGGCAGATGTTCTGGGGCTGTACATGTACACCGCAGTGGAATAGCAGTCTCTGCCCCAGCACCGTGTCTCCCCTGAGGGCTGCCCGCCAACCCACTGGCCAGCCCAGCCCAGAAACAGTGCGTCCCCTATCATGGGCTAGATGCGGGCAGCAGGCCCCAAGGTGGAATGAAAGGCAAGTGGGCAGCAGTCATGCAAAGGCCCTGTGGAAGTCAAGTGCTCCAGGCCCAAAAAGTGAGTGAGCCTTGCCATGTCTCCCCAAGGAGGCTCTTCGGCTGAGTGTAGCAGGTCTCTCTCCCCCGCCACCACTGTCGGCCTAACCTTCTAGATCTTCCACATCTCTCTGCCGGCCTGAATACCATGCCCTTCAGATCCCAACAGAGCCAGCGTGTGGCTGCCTGTGAAGGTAAAGCTGACAGCAGGTGGCTCTCGGGGGAGACACCACACTGGAGCTGAGACTGCTGCTCCACTGTGGTGCAGCCCCTGGACATCTGCCCGCTCTCCCTGAGCACTGGCGGGTGCTGGTCCCATTGGGATCTGAAGGGCAGGGCACTCAGGCTGGCAGAGGCACATGGAAAGTCTGCAGCCCCTTGAGGCCTTCAGGACAGTCACAGATCAGATTGTCCAAGGCTTTGCTTCCCAGGATGTGCCTTAAGAAGTGGGAGGAGGTTGAAGGAGAGGAATAGATTGAGGCCTCAGGAAGCAGTAAGAGGAAAAGGGCAAGAGAAATGGGAGGCTTTGGAGATGAGCATCCGTCCCAACCCCGCTTCCCCGAGAGGCCGCTTGCCCAGCCATGCTTACTTCTGCCTCGAGGCTTCTGCTGCTGAAGTAGGTGGGGCAGGGCAAGGGATGGGCCCATGATGGCACCTTAGCCAGCCAGATGAGCCCGGGGATGGTTGGGGGGAAGCTAACTAGGCTGCAGCCAGTGCTGTATGTGGGATGGGGTCGTGCTGATGGCAAAGCCAGTCAGGCAAGCTCCGGGGACTGTGAGGGGTGTGTGTGCATCAAGCTTTTGGGATGGTAGGAGGGCTTCGGCAAGTCCTGGAGATGGTGCCCCCCCCCAGCAAGCTTCAGGGATAGTGGTGGGGGGACTAGCACAACTCACAGGCTTACCTGTAAGCAGGCAGATCAGGGCCGCTCAATTGGGGTGCAGGCACCATGTGGGAAGGCAACTTAGAAAGGCAAGCTGCAGAGCAGAGACTGTGCGCATGCGCGAGCAGGACCCAGTGTGCCGCAAAGAAAGTGAGGAGCGACTGGGCGGGGAGAGTGGTGAGCGGGTGGGTGGGCTAGCAGCAACCAGGTGACTGGGCGGGTGGGGGTGGGGCCAGCCAGAGGTGGTATTTGCCGGTTCTCTGAACCAGTTAAAATGTCTGCTACCGGTTTGCCCAAACTGGTCCAAACTGACTGAATACCACCTTTGATTCTACTCCAGTATGGGGGCACACAGGTTAGTTGCTGTTAATAGTTAGCATTATTTTGGCTTGGATATTAATCTTAAATTATAGTTGTGGTTGTATACTGTTCTGATTCCATGAGAATGGAATGGTGTAGAAATTGAGTGAAGTAAATAAATTGGAACATTAAAAGTAAACACACAAACAAACAAAAGTTTTCTAAAAGTGTGTTTGTTCTAAGCTGCCCCAAACTGTTGGGAGGTAGAAGGCTTTCCTCCTGGTCTTCTACATTTCTGGAATGACCATTTCATCTGTACTGTATAAGAACTTTGGAGGATACGCAGAGCTGGTAAAATAGCTATACAGTTTGCTTATGAAATGTCTAGTTGCTAAATGAGCTTTAGCAATAGCAATAATACTTAGCCTTATATATCATTTCATAGTGCTTTACAGCCTATCTCTAAGCAGTTTACAGAGTCAGCAGTTGAATAAAGTCAACTCAGATATAACAATATCTTTATTCTAGCTTCCTATACAAAACTATCTGATTATATTTTGCCCAAAGGCTATGTCCCTTGCAAGCATTAATTTAGGGTTTTAAAAAGGAACATTTAAATAATATGTGGTAAGGCTTTATTTACAGGTTTATCCAGTCATGTTTTGAGTATTTCCTTTTAATTTTTTTCCCTCATGGAAATGTTTATTCTCTCCTTCCCTGTTTATTAAAGCTTCTACCTAGAGTTTCTGCTATATATTTCTTAGTATTTAAGGTTTTTGGAAATTATTTGTTTTGTTGTTCTATGCTCTCTCTTATATTTCTACTGTAATTCCTAGGCTTTCTTTGTGCTACCTACATAAGCACCTATATAAAACAATGTTATATAAATAGCTTAGTTTGGCCACCTAGGCCTGATGAGAATTGTAATTTCAATATCTAAGTCTATGGAAAAAGCCTAAACATTTTTTTAAGTCACAAAATTTATTTATTTATTTTAGAATATTTATATGGCTGCCTGAGCAGCTTGCTAAAATAAAAATCCAATAACAAAACAATAAAAAGCAGTTACCCTCCACCCTTTTATATACTTTTATATTGTAATACTTTAAATAAAAAGCTGGTCAAAACACTATTTATATATTCCTAGGTTAAGTAAATGTATTCAAGTTGTGCATAGGAGATTGTTTTGATAATGTGACACAATTTAAAATTGTTTAGTCATCAGGACCAAATTTGGATTATAACCCGACCCTCCCAATAGAATGACTACACAAGCCAGTTCTGAGGTATAATGGTTGAATGCTTGAATTTTAGCTGTGAGGATGGAAGGAAGGGCTTCCTATAAAGATATACAATGCTTCTGACTGAGATTCATTATTTAAATTGTTTACATTCATTGTTTAAACTATTAGACCAAGTGTTGCCCTTGTATGCAGAAAGTATCAGATGCTCTACCTTGTCTAAATCTCAGATTTCTTTATTTGGTGAGACTGAATTGGTGAGTGGGTACTTGAGAGACCGCCTGCTGCCAATCACCTCCACTAGACCGATTAGATCCCACAGATTAGGCCTCCTCCGAATTCCATCTGCCGGCCAGTGCCGGAGGAGAGCCTTCTCTGTGGCTGCTCCGACCCTCTGGAATGAGCTCCCCGTGGAGATTCG